GAAACGGCACCAAATGGAGTCAGGTACATCGGTTTCTGAATCGGGCATGGCTTCGCACTGAAGGTTCTTACAAAAGTAGTGGGCTACCCCACCATCTTTGCTGGGTCGATGATTCCGGACAACGGACATACCTGTCAGCGCGATTTCGACATCCGTTATCTCACAGCGCAAACATCATTTCGTGATAGCGATGAGGTCCCAAGCTGCTGACCCGTGTCGAAGTCTTAATTCAGCTGATTTCCTGAGTAGACCTTAGGAATTTGTGTACGTGCATGAGAGATTCTCGGAGACCAAAGGTGTGTTGGGTGGAATTTATGGAGAAAGTGAGTTTACGTCGACCGATGTAAGGTCTGCGGCTAGTGGTTTTTTTGATGGGTTGCAGACTCTCGAGACGAATTTGGCATGTATTCAAGTATCAGATGCCCCGGATCCCGGTGTTCGCTCGTGCTCTACTGTGTCCTCCGGACGTTATGGCTACTGTTAAACCGTCACTGAGTTGACTCCTACAGTTGGTGTTTTCATTGACAATTGCGCCTCCATAGACTTATCATTAGAAGGTCGTACTGGTCCTGCTGCTTTCATTCGAATTTCTGTTGGAAACCTGCTACGGAATTTAGTCCAGTACTCTAGAAGAGTTTGTGCCTTTAGTTTTGATTGCAACACCATTTTCAACAGCGCCGTTGCTCCAGGTCGTGTACCTGAGCATCGTCGGAAGAGAAATCTGTAAGCTCAAGAACACCATGAGCAATCACAGTTTCTGTTCTCTCTGTTAGTTGGATCCGCTGAGCACTCTTTCCACGGGATGTCAGGTAGTATTCACACTCCACTTGTGGCGTTGCGGAGTCGATTCGCAGACAACAGAACGGCTTCTGTCTCATCCACCGAGTTTAGTGTTACCCGAAGTAACCGGGGTTCACCGTAGTGCAGTGCGTTTGGGTGACGTGAGATGCCTCCTAATGTCGAGGGATCAGCATGGACACCGGTCACCGTACAGATGGAACTCCATTGATTTCAATCGTCTGTCAGTCTACCCTTAATTGTATTGGATTTGGATTCGGGGACATTAGTGCACACAAGGTTTAATGCATCATGGTTGCGCCTGGTGGCTACTGATTTTGGAGCCTTAGTTTCCGGTCTTTTGGTGAATTTTCGAACGACACTGATGGGGTCCATCTGTGCTGCGACATTTTAGTTTTCAACAGGTCGCTGTCCGAAGGTTCGTTGCCGATTGACTGGAAATGTTCGGTGGTGAAGCCTATTCCGAAACACGGCGACCCTAGCAAAGTAGACAACTACAGACCAATTTGTCTCACACCTATTTTGGCAAAGATTGCTGAGTAAATCGTAAAAAAGTATTATTACAGTTGCTACAGTTAAAAGAAGTCCTGAGACCCGCACAGCACGGTTTTATGCAAGACCGCCCATGCATTACAAACATGCTTGTGACGAGGCATGAGTGGTTGAAGGCAATAAGCATGGGGAAGTCTGTCGACTTGATATTCATCGATTTCAGTGTCGGTGGCTCACTGCACCGGTGGATCCGCGACTTTCTTGTTGGACGAAAGTGGAGGGTACAGGTCGACGACCATCTAACTGACTGGTATCCCTCTACAAGTGGCGTGCCTCAAGGCACTGTACCCACTCTGTTCCTGATCCACATCAACGATCTACCTCAGCTTCTCCGGTCGCCGTGTCCCTTGTTTACAGATGACATAAAGATTTGAAGCGAAATTGGCGCTCCCCTCAACCGCCTATCCACGTGATCTGCAGAAGTACATCTCCCGGTTAACTCACCCGAGTCTGTATTTATGAGCCTGGGGAAGGGTGTTGATGGCCAACTGCTATATCCCACACCCTCCGTGAGGGACCTAGATGTACTTTCGCGCTACGATTTGAAGTCCGTGGACAACACGAACAGGCTATATCATAACGGACTGCTCATGCTTTGGGCGCTCAAACGTAGCTTCGGCACATGGTCTGACGAGGTTGCCACTCGCCACTTCTTCCATCATTAGACCAATGCTAGAATACGGTTCGCCCGCCTACTTTCCGATTACCCGAGGCACGGCACAAAAGATCTAACGGGTCTAACACGTTACTACCAGGCTCATCCCGAGTTTATGTGTCGTGAGGTATGAAGACCGGTGCGAGGAACTAGGACTCTACACATTGTCCTACCGTCGGGTGCGAGTCGACCTCATTATGACCTACTGTATTCTACATCTCGGTGACTTCCCCATGCTGAGGCAAATGCTGCACTTACGAGGGTCATGCAGTACGCGAGGACACAAATACAAACTTGTCGTGCCAGATGTGAAGCGAGTTCCTCACCCACTGTGCTTCGAACGGAGAGTGGTGAATATTTGGAACAGTTTGCCTGAACCTGTGATGGAGACAATCTGTGCAGCAGTTCAAAATGTTGTTAGATTTCTATTTTACCACTATTCGATTGAGAGAACGATTGCATACTTAGGATGACACCTCACATGTGTGAGTCCTGCGACATTGTGCGTCAGATATTTTAAATGTTACGTGAGAACGATAACCATATTCACGGCTGACAATTTTTATAACGTTTTTCACCATATTTCGAAAGAGTTGTACAGCATTCATTTCTACTTGCTCTATAATACAGTATTTAGTATTCTGGTCCGGCCACCAACGTTACCGGTGCTATTTCTGGTGTTTGCTTGGCGGCAACCGATGCGTGGGTTACCTGGTTACTATGGCTGCTTGACTGCAGCTTAGGGTCTCCTGTGTAGCGAACAAACTACTAGGTATAACATATTGTACAGAAGTTGAATCAGGCACGCTGCAGACAGTGTTTCTACTTATGGGAGAGAGATAGGAGTTGTTACTGATTGTGACCGAGTCGTTGGGGTAATGTTGGACCTCCTGACTCTCTTCTTCGGCCTGGTCCGTTTCCTCGCATAGGTGTAACCCTGGCACACACCAGTTGCACGAATGCTTCTGTTAGTCTTTCACACCTCTTCAGTAGCACAGTTATTCGGCTCACAACTGGGATAGCACTGCATACTGGACAGAACCAAAATGCCTCTGTCGTGTTATTGTACCGTCTCGTTTTTATCAGCTCCGTCACAAGGCATTTTGTGTGATAGGTCTTCAAGCAACTGCTGCAAACTGGCCCACCCTTCACAACTCACACTTGTTCTTAACGTGACACATGTTCGCCGAGTGCGTGGAGTTTTAAGGTCACGGGTTTGTCGGATGATCAGTTAATACAGCTTCCCGCGTCAATGATAAGCGTGAGTGAGCGTGGCGCGCCCGTTGTCAGCCGTGATCCCCTGTAAGTACACATTGCAATGGTAATCGGTTGATCAAACGATGTTAGGCCCAGGTGGTTTGGGACCTAGTAAATGAATCTAAACACAACGCTGAACACATTGAGAGATCACAAATTCCTTCACAGATGCGTTGAGAAACACCTAATTGCAATAAGCTTAGGCTTTTCGGACTGCCTCAAGAATTCTGCACCGAATGGTGTTACACAGTAGGGCAGTGGGCACAAGGTGAATGAGTTATCCGCTTGTGTTCAACCACGGATGCCAGTCAAATCCGTTAGGACTTTAGTGTTATAAGATAATTCCACCTTTGATAGCTCACTGTGTAGAGTTGGTAAATTCGGTTCGAATGAGCGTGCGGTGACTACGCTGCGAGAAGGTAGAGAGGAGATATAGAGTATTATTCCAAATGACTTGGGAGCACGCACGTCAAGCGTGTGTGTGTGTGTGTTGATGTTGGGGAAACCGGGGTGTTCTGCTTAGCATCCACTATATTATTTTTTCGTTCTCTGGCTAGCATCTCATTGTTTGTAGTGGTAGGCCCGGAATACCGTTTATTTTCTACGCACCCGTGTAACGGAGTCGCTATGGCATTAGGTACTCCTAATATCTGCTTAAGGACGTGTTTCCATCGATTCCTGTGCGCTTTATAGGCTTGCCTGTACGTCTCACTTCAGTTAGTGGTGTAACATGTGTGGACGAGTTATGCACTCATTGAGTAATCATCGTATTTTTTAGTCGTATAGACCAAAAATGTACGAGCGATGCATTCTGGCCGCGGAAACAAGTGCACGAGCAGATGCACAGTTTGAGTTTGAGTTTTACTAGTGGTCACTTCGGGGACTATTCGCTGTCGTGTTGTTAGAAGACGATGGTACTTCAGCTACATCATTCAAACACGCATCTTTAAAGCAGCACGGGCCTTGTCAATCGCTTTCATGAAAGCACTTGGCTAAAATAGCGTTCTCTATTTCGAATTATTTCGTGATGCATGTTATCGTGTTACCGCCTAATGGTGACACGCTTGTCTTGTAATGTGACGGCGCAGGCTCGAGCCTGCGTAGGGACATGGCGATCCTCGTAGTATCCTTACCCCACGTGCAACCAGTGGTAATTGCGCGGTAGCGAAACGTCGGTACTGCGTACCGGCGTACTGCTGATGCGTTTCTAACGTGTTACCCCAGATGATTCGCAATTGATTCTTCATTTATTTGCTTTCCATATGAGGCTCTGTTTCGCCTTGCTTTTCTGTTCGGACCTATGTGGCACCTGAACATGACCACTGTTATCTTCAGATGCATTCACGGAGTTTGCTCACCACAACGTTTTAGGTTACCCAACGGTTTACACCTTGAATCGATGCACATCAATGGTACTCTCGTCATGGTGTCCTGCGAGCGCGATTCCTCTTCTAGTCAGTAAGAAGATCTGTTACTCAAGCCTTCAGAAAACATCATTAACCCTTTCTAATCTAATGCGTAAATTCCCTTTATACTTCCACACAAGATTATCGGAAGACTCAGGGTGTGAGATGGCACCGTCATTTCATGCACTCTGTCAAATACATGCAACCAATAATGGACCTAGTATTTAATCCGCATGGCGCACGCTGCATGTACTATGCGAACAGGCATGCGCATCGTCTCAACTTACAGATGTAGCTGGGGTTATTCACACCAGTGACTACTTCTATTGTAGGCAGAACAGCGGGCAGCTGAGGCCGAACGCCAAGTGTCCAAACTCCAGAATGAAGTTGATCACCTCGAAGGTGATATACGTAACATATTATTCTTCTGCTTGCACGCATCTCAACTTTTATCACTTTCCGATTGCCTCCAATGAATGTGCCACATGCGTTGCATGTTTTTTTATTTATCATGCATGCTTCTCCATTGTTTTTCTTTGCGCAACCTGCGTTACAAGGCTGAATCGCGTGCGGAGGCAGCGGAACAAGAGATGATCCGTCGTACGCAGGAGATCAAGCGAACAAAGGGTGAGTAGCTCCTTCCTAACGGTTCATTTGCGCTGAATCACGTCGTCAAAATAATCATGATAAGTTGAGAAGAGTGAACGGAATTAACTCCATATTGGCTATTTTAGGGTCAAAAATTTGGTATCAAATACAGTAGCACTTCTGATTCGGTGATTGTGTTATGTCCAATTGAGCATCAAACTACTGATATGGCTAATCTCAAGGTCTCCATTCAATCAACCCCAACTAGTTTTTTGCCACGTTGTATGAAGGCGTCGTAATTTCATTACTACCACCTAGGTTAGAGTCTTTTGACCATGACTACATTTTTCGTATTTCTGGCTCGAGGTATACAAGATTTCGATATTAACCGAGCATCGTCACCTATACCACCAGCCTGTCATTGTCATCTTTTTGGGCGGCTTCCGACTCGGTCGATCGGCTTTCTTTATGGCATTGTCAACAAAAAGGACGTGGTATCTATCCTTCGAGCAGTAAATATCAATGTCTCGGACAGAATAAGGGCCTACGTCCAGCTCTCCTCACCTTTCGTAGTCATCAGCGCTATGCGACATTTGTGCTCTCTGAACGCCCTCGAGTTTCTGGCCTAGAGTTCTGCCAGGCAACCGCGCAACTTACTTGGACTATTCTGTTAATATCGCTTTGCTGGGTGACGACCCCCAGCGCGTGCAGGTCATTTTAAACCACCTGGCGATTGAAGCTTCCGAGTATGGTATAACATTCACCCCCTACAAACTGCAGTCTTACTCCAAGATTGGCTTTCAACTGCCCCAGTGCTTATTGTTGACGGTCCGCTACCTGAATGAGTAGTAGGCTTTTTATACTTGGAGTGTTGCGTTCCTGCTGATTGCACCATTGGAAAGGAGATTTCTCTTCACACTGCGAAAGCCCTATTTATGTTTACCTATCTGATGCATCTGTGGCGTCATGTAGAATGTTCACTCTATACAGTCTACAATGTATATATTCGCGCGATGCTCCTGTCCAGAAGTGAGTTCAGGCCGATGTGTGTGAATGACATGCGTCGGCTTTTGGTGAAGGGTATTGGCACAGAATAGCTCTTATGTGGTGGCCACGCCATACTTGCAAAGACGTCGCCTCTTAGCATGTGCGGACCTTCCTCTCAATAGACTCGTCTCGCTGCGCGAAGTAAGTAGCTTCCGCACATCCTACGCGTGTTGTGAGAGCGATAACCAGGTCGGACTTTATTCATTCGCACAGGACCGCAATGGAAGAAATCGCGCAGTGACCAACCTACCACACGGAAGCAATACGTCGACTTGCCCATTTCCAGTTAAGCTGTCGTTGGTTCCGTGCGTTTCCTGTTTCGGTTTACGAGAAAAACGAACACCACTGGGACCCAGTCCACCTAGAAATTCAGACTTCATCTGAGGAATTACAATGCTTTGTTGAAGCAAAGCAAGGGGCAGTGGCGAGTCACATCCGCTACGTCACAGTGTTGTTAAACGGACATTCGTGGCTTTTTATAGGGAGATCGCTTGCCAGGTGAAAACTCACCACTTCCTGGGACACTTCCGCCGAACTTTCCTACTGGAACGGGACAAGCCCCATCCACCCAGCTGACATCACAAGGAGGTAGTTCTGCATGCCAGCCACCCGCTCGCTAGAAATGTTTGACCGCCGTCGAAATGTGTCACCAGAGTCAGCTCATAATTCTGTGCGCCAGACTCGATCGGAAACTCAAACAAAGCTTGCGTAATGACCGCGAGACCTGGTGGTCTCAGTGCGCCTCGATGGAGGCCGTTGCTCTCTCCGGCAATGTCCGCAAGCTCTTCCAACTCGTTCCCAGAAGGCCTGATGTTAGCGAGACTATCTGTGAAGCGGATGGGTCACGAATCACTAACCTGCCAAGACGCATAGAGAGTTGGGCCGAACAATTCCACTCCCAATGCAATACCCATCCGTTGTCCGCTAGTATGCCAAGCACACCCAATTGCATGCCCTGGGCTATTTCATTGGAGTCACTTAACGAAGCGGAGGTTTTCGTCGAGATTCGACGCCTTAAGAGATTCAACTCTTCTTGCTCGGACAAACTTCCTCCGGAAATGTTCAAGTTTGGCGGCCCAACAATTGTCAAGCAATTGACGTCGCTGTTTTCCAAGATATGGAACAAAGAGAAGATTCCATCCTCCTGGAGTAAGTCAACGATTGTCCCTATCTTATATGGGAATCAGTCTCATGCCCGTTGCTTCTAAACTGCCAGCATCCATTCTGCTCCGCAGACTATCCCCGATCCACGAGTTGTTTTACCGAGAACAACAAGCTGGCCTTTAGCCCCGGTCGAGGATGCGTGGTTCAGATCTTCACGCTACGTCAAACCTTGAACACCGCCATCTCTACCACAAGCGAACCATTGTCGTTTTCCTGGACATTCAAGCTGCATTTGATTCGGTTGACCGGCCTGCTTTATAGCACTGTTTACTGAGAAATGTAGTCCCCGGAAAGTACGCTTCTATCATTCGGGCGCTTTACTTCCAAGTGTCAAGTAGAGTGAGGGTTTATGGAAAGCTTTCCTCGCCTTTCTCTATCTCTAGTGGTGTGCAACAAAGGTGCGCTTTGTCTCCATTCCTCTTCAACTTTACAATTGAAGACCTGTTTTGATCTCTGGAAGGCTCATAATTTTGCTTTTGCGCTTCTTCCTGGCAATCGCGTGACCGACTTGGTATATGCTGATGAGATCGCTGTGCTCGGTGACGATTGACAGAGTGTACAGCTCTCTTTGAACCGTCTGGCGTTTGAAGCTTCTAAGTATGTTACGCGCTTTCCCCTTTGAAGCGTAAAGTGCTACTCCAGGACTGGGTCGTCTGCCCCTTCACTTACCATTGAAGGAACACAGCTAGAGCTTATGGACAACTTTGTCTACCTCGGAAGCTGTATTTCTGCTGATGGCACTATTGGGAAAGAGGTATCTTATCGCATCGCCAGAGCCCGGTCCTGCACTTACCAAATTGAGTCATTTGTGGCGTCGTCAGGATATATCCCTCTCCTTAAAGGGGAGGGTCTACAACGCATGTGCCCGCGCGATCCTGCTGTATGGAGGTGATTCCTGGCCGATTCGTGCGGGTGACATGCGTAGACTTTCGGCCTTCGACAACACATGTTTACGGCGAATACCCGTGTTTGGTGGCAGCACCGGGTTCGTAACGATGAAGTCCGGTGTCGCGTCTTGGGAAACATAAGCCCTCCGCTTGATCGCCTTATCGCAGTGCGTCAATTGAGGTAGCTTGGTCACCTTCTACGTATGTCATGCGAGCGATTACTACGCCGCGCCTTATTTGCTCGTACGGGATTGAATTGGAAGAGGACGCGTGGACGCCAGCCGACCACTTCGCGGCAAAACATAAAATCGCTGACCTATCTCGCAATCGTCGGCCCTGTACATCTTCCTGGTTGGGGCCCCAAGAATGAGGACTGCAAATGGCTCGACACACTTGGAGATATAGCGCAAATCGGAATTAATCGAAAGACTGTGTATTGAAATGTTTTGAACAATATGCTTAGAGCCATACCCTTAACAATACCAACAAAGGACAAAACGGCGTGTGAAAACAAGCAACCAATAAGCTAGGAAGCCCAACAAATATTTGTTATCTGTTCCTGTCATTTGTACTTTTTTTTAACTATATCGTTCCTCCTGGTTTTTCGATGGCTATATATATATATATATATATATATATATATGGTTGGCGGCATCCGATTTCGGATTTGTCTATCACTGTGGCCAGCCACAGGACTCCTGCGCCTGCAGAAGGACCATGAGTGGCTTGCGCTGCACCACCCACAGCTCCAACCACCGACTCCATATCCATTGTAAACCTGAAAGAATAAGACCGGGAGGCCTGTGGATGGGAGCCACGTTTCATCAACGGAGCGGGCCCTTCACAGGCAAACACAAGCGCGCTGTATTTGGCGAATCAAGCGCACACAAGGCGGTGCCTGGACCGTAGTCCGCTCCACACTGAGTGCATGGAACCACTCTTCGAGCCTAGCAAGGCCACAAGGACCGTGCACCCCGTCCCCTCCAGCAACGACCAACTGTCTTCTAGAGCCATTATGGACGAGGTAGTGGGTAATAGACAGGTAGGCATCTTGTCAACATGCACATTAAGCTCAGTCACATCGGGGATATCAAGCAACAGCCAACCACTTGAGAGAAAAATAATAAAGGAAATAAATTGAGTAATGCATAAGGAAACGGCGACGTAAATCTTAAATTAATGAGCGTATGAAATAAGTTGTTTACAAAAGAATCCAAGATAAGTTCACGAGGTCAGGAAGTTTACTTTACGGAAATGCTACAAACACGAAGATGTTATCGAAATTAACTAGGATTGGCTTAAGCGACGTGTGCAAGTTTATAGAAGAGAGTATAGGTAGACCTTTATATGAGAAAGAAAAGTATTAGGACAAAATTGGAAACCCATCATCTGAAATAAATGGACTTGGCATGCAAGCACGCGATTAGCAAATGGAATGCAGCGTACCTACAAACGCTGCGCCGGTTCTGCCTACGTTCTCTGCAGGACCCGTCGTCGCTTCGGTAGTGGTCCCTAGTGGCCTAGCTCATGGCTCATTAGGCCTGCGTGACTCAGGCACTCGCGACCGCATGTGCTACAGCACCATGTGCTCGATGTCGATGGAATACAACCCATCGGTGCTTGCCGCTTCTTTGCATGTGTGAGGTCTTTCTCCCGCACTTCGGCAACTGCCTTTGTGATTAGATCGCTCCATGCACGCCGACCAACTGCCTTCGATTCCCATGACCTGCAAGCAAGATTAGAACGTGAGATTCTCACTTTGCTCATGTCCTATATATATATATATATATATATATATATATATATATATATATATATATATATATATATATATATATATATATATCAGTACACGGAGCACTGCACGTTTCTGCACACCCTTTGCAAATCCCCAGTGCAAGGAAATTTAACAGTACGGGATCGTTGCAGCATAAGTACTCATCGCTACCTGAAGTCGTCCATTGGTTCAATAAGCCAGGTAGTTATAGTACGTCTTTCGACCTCGTCACTTATCAACAACGACCATCTGTTACTGCAGCTTTATTACAGGTGCTCATCGCGGGAACAAAACGAGTATCAGTTTACGGATTAGCTCTACGACGACTGCTTACGGAATGTTGTTTCTCTCTGGTTGAAGCAGCAAGTGAGTGCAGCTGACCGTCACATAATGCTCGGAATAGCAGCCTCTGGTGCCACGCCGCAGCGTCGTTCAAACTGGAATCGCTTGGATCAGCTAAGTATTGTTCTTTGTACGGCGAGTGGATGCCTAGGTGCGCCTGGTTTACTGTTGCAGCATCTTGTCAGGTGAAACTGAAGGCTGTTCGGTTTATGACGCGATAGAAAGGTGTGGAGGTATTGCCTGAGAGACCTGCTGGGGCTGCCAGTCATAATCTCCTTGAATCGGGGCCATGGGGTAGGCCGGCATTTGTTGGATTTATTGTGTAATTCCACTGAGTCTCGCAATTAACCGGTAGCTTTGCGATCCTCTTTACCTTAGCCACTTTTTTATAACCTGTTTTCCCCGTGTTCCATATTTTTCTAATCTCGATTTCCGTTCGATTTTTAATTTTATCATGGTGATGAGTGTCATGGCAAAAATATCCACCACGCCTCATTGATCTGTTTCTTAGTTATCTATGCAGAACATGCTGGACATTTAAGCAATTATCGTGTTTCCCTACTGGGAATTTTTTAAATTGTACTTCCGTAGCCACCTAGTAGTGGACAACTTTACATGTTATCTTTCGTTTTCCAGAACGGATTGCCGCTGAACACAATGCTTATGAGGCACTGCGCGTTGAAATGGACAATGCGTTGAATGAATTCCGAGCCATGTGATAGGCGTCGTGCAGTTCCTGTTTCAATCCATGCCGGAACTTTTAGTCATTTTTGCATGGCCATATGATCTTTCTTCTTTTGACGCGCCATGTTCCTGCGAGCCTTGTCATCCTTACTTTTTGTTTGCTTCGGTGATACACCAAATTGATTGACTCTTGTACCCCTCGCATTCTCGCCAGTCGTCTCTATCCGGTTCCATTCACTTTGTGAACTTTGCTGCTAGCGTCTGTTTCACCCTGATATTTACTCGAGGTTTGATGATTTCTTCCGCCCCTCTTTTGGTTTCCTGTATTGTTCGAGTTGCTTGTTACAATAGGATATTTCATAATTCTCTTGCCTGATCCGTCCACAATGCTTCGCTTTGTTTGTGGGCAGCATGCCGCATGAAGGATTGCGCCGTATGTGCATGCGGTTTTTCGTTTTACTCCGGTTTGTTCACTATTTGGCAGACAGGTTCTTGGAAGATGGCAACAGGGTTTTTTCCGTACGCATTCCCACTTGTCCATCAATCGCGCATTTAGGCATTCGCATGGTGCATAGTTTATAAAAGCCTTCCCCCCTTGCAGTGTAAATGTAACCACGTGTGAAGCGTAACGCTCACATACCTGCCATATTTAGTCAGTTCATTTGAACCCGAACATGTCTAGTTTTCATATACTTCGTATCAGAAGTATACCAGGCGTTCAGCTCCTAGTTACTTCGGTCATCATTCACGTCACTCTGAGGTTAGGACGGGGTGCTTGCTAACCCGCTGCTACTCAGAACACGGAAACCACACGGCAGTCGCATCTTCTGAGCAGTTAGAGGACGTTTTGTTCCATGAATTTACTCCGAACTGTTGTCACTGCAATCAACACCGTCTTACCGGTCTCTGACTTAAGCGATTAATTGTATGGTTACTGGAATGTAAGCGGTTCTAGGTGGCTTGTATTGTACTTTGTGACTAGGTCCTCTCTTCCTAAAAATCTGTGCCACCAATGATCTCTTCAAATATTCCTTGTTATTTACTAGACGACCTACTTGCCGAAAAGGTTCGCTACAAGGATCTCAGTGGGGAGTTGGATCAGACCTTCGCCGAGCTTACAGCCTACTAGTATGTGCGCTCAATGGGTTCTCCTGGCGTTGATTCGAATTATACCTCCGTGCAGTGTTCCTCCTCTGATTCCTTGTAGCTGGTGTTCAACGTACAGGTCATCGCTCCTTCGGGGTACCCAGTAGACTTACTTGCACCCTCTTCTCAACCCCCTGGCGCTGTTCTCTTGTCCAGCAAATCCGCTTATTTACTTGGGTTTAACCAAGTTCTGTTTGAATTTAAATAAATTCCTTGTTTTACCTTTTTGTTTATCGGACGTCCTAATTGCTATAATACAATGCTGACCAAGTTCCATGTGCAAATTACCTTTGCTTCAAGCACAAGTGGCTGCTAAGGGCTCATGGCTTTAGCCGCCTGACAAATACCCTTGCGACGATTAGGAAATCGATGCGCAGTGGAGAAATTTGATGCTGATCGCACTCCACGACTGGTTTCAAATCAAGTCAAGAATGTGCTTTATACACCCTCGAAGGGTGAATATTCAGCTCTAACACACACGCCACGGACAGGGATAAGTAAGGAAAACGAACAGTGCACGAAGACAGACACAATCGTAAAAAGTACTTGCTAGAGCAAATGTCACTGGAATAATTTACTAACCAGTTCTTGAATGGGTGAAATTTTATCGTTCAGAAAACGTGACAGGTAAGCAAATACTTATGTACCATAAGCCTATGTGCGTGCGTACATAGGTTTATAGCTCTGTCTAGTCGACGACATTGATACGCAGTCGGACAACGCTCTGTGAATAGAGTGGCTAACATCAGTGAGTATTTTGGATACATGTCTGTTATATGAGTTCAAATGCTTGGCTACAATGATGGTAACAAGTTTCAGCCTTTAAATGTCACTACACCTGGATGGATGCTTCACCGATCTGGCGATTTCTTTGAGCTTCTGTATCAGGAAAGATAACGGGCGAGCAATGGATCCACTAGGGTAACACATGCAGTGATAAAACGCTGGATCAAAAGTGATCGTTCCACAAAAGGGGAACGTATCTCGCCCCACGGGAAATATGCTCATTTATTTATTGACCGTATTTTACCGAAGAAAGGAGCCGATAATTTTTTTTACTATCTTTCATTTCTGTACTGGGAGTATGCATTTAAAATAGTTATACGCAATTTTAACAAGGTCACATACAAAATCTATCCAGGAATTCACTGTGCACATCTGCCCTATCTTCCCTTGGCACTACTCCCTAGTGACGGTCGGTTTTTTCGAAATGGGGATTTGAAGTGCTTCATTTTTTAGTACGGTGTCTACGCGCGTTCCCCCCCCCCCCAGCTGGATTATATGACCTCGCGTTAACGATATTTTGGGTGGCGAATCAAAAGCGCACATACATTACGATCACCACAACTGACCAACAGTAGAGCAGCTTTCACTTCAGCGCACTTACTTGAAAGCAGGTAATGATGACGCCAAAATTTCGTTGCCCTTTTTTACTGATTTTTGGGGTCTGCTAATGTAGGCACTTTGGATAAATGAGAGGTTGCAATGTTATACTGTCGGCTTATCCATTGATGGACTTATATACGGTAATATACGGGATTTTTAAGACCTGAAACGTATGGGTGGACCACGTAAACCTACTGCTCAGTGTCACCCTCAGTTATTTTATTGTGGTAGAAGAGGTCAAACATTTACCGTCAATGCAAACTTGCAGTCACTGCGTTAGGATTTGGTAGTAACCATTTGTTGGGCAGCGAAAAAAGGACATCCTTGCAATTTGAGGTGTTTAACTGTAGACAACAGGATTTGACCAGGCTGTGAGGTTATCCAGGTGGGTTTTTAGTTTGGTCGCTGACTTAATGCTTGGATGAAAGACACCAAGATTTACTTCATTCGCATACTTCAGCAAGATGGTTTCTTCAGGGACCGGAATTGAGGTAAAGTAAGTGGAAAATATGAATGTGGACAAAATCGCTCCCTGAAGAACACCATATTTCGTGGTGGTTGAAAAAGTTTTTTTCTCAGCAGCGTGGTATACTGCGTGCCGGGTGAAATACTTTCAGTTGAAGAACAACAGAAGATGGAATTCCAGGACCTAATTGGTCGCGCAACAGTAGTTCACATGATCGAAAGGGTTGCTAAAATCCAGATGCGGATGGATTTTTTTTATCCAGTGGCAAGAGCACAGTATGTACCATGGATGCTACTACTTCTAAGCTAGACCTTGAGCTGCGATATGGAAACTGATGAGGGTCACCCAAATAGGTCTGTGCTGAGATCTTTTTAAGAACAAGCCTCTTAGAGGTCGCCAAAGCAACCGACTTGCAAGCGATCGGCCGATATTTGGCGGTTCCTTCCTTTGCACTGCTGTGATGCTTGCGCTTCGCCAGCTGTCTTGTGCTCCTTGATGCACAGTGTGTACAAGTCGGCGAGGGCCTCCGCCATGTAATTTAAACACTCCTTGAGAACTACAGGAGACAACTTATCCGGACCAGGTGTTTTGTTCACTTGCAACCCGGGTAATTTTCTATGTACTAGGCTGTACACAGAAGGAGGGTTATCTGAGGCTAACTGTAACAGCAGAGGATATACCAAAGAATGAAGTATTATCCCTGGCACAAGCCTTGAAGTTTATTTTTTTACACATCAGTTAAATGTGTGACTTCGCTGGCAACTGCTTGGATTTTTCAATATTTTCCATATTTCACTACAATAATTGTTACCAAGTATAGCTTGGACGTAGATATGGCTGAGTCGACGCAGTTCGACTTTTATGCCAATCCATAGATACTTTACTGATGTATCATCTTTGCGTTTAAGAGCCGACGCAGTCGTTTGAGACGAGGATCTATCGGCACGGACTAAAATTACTGGTGAGTAGTAGTGATGATTTTGGTATAACAATTGTTTCAGTTGGACAACAGGGGTCGAATTTGAAGTTAAGGTAACTAGTTGATCAGTACCTCCGCATCGTAAAATGTACTGAAATCGGTGGAGTCAATGCTTTCCCTCCGTGTTCTGGAGAAGGCATTGTCTCCGCCTGAACTTTCGATCTTCGCAACGGGTGATATCTTTATGGATCGTCTTGCTATAGCTAACGGGAGATATTTTTACGGTGGCATGATCATAGCTCCTAAGCGTCGCCCGATTTCAAGCATAAAAATTTCAAGTTGTTAACAAGTACCATCTCGAATGTGGCATTTATTCGGGTTGTAGATTGCACTCTGCGCTTTCCCCCAAGGTTCGCAATGAATTTGGTGTCAGATCTGTTGAAAGCGTCGGCAACTATGCACAAAGAGTGTTCCAGGTATTCGGGGACCGCAGCTGTAAATCCGTTATAAATTCTTCAACTTCGTAGCTTGGACACTGGAAGAGATAAACAGCCAAAAATTCGAAGGATAATCGATCAGCAGTCCTGGTTTGCATTTCACGATTAAACAGCTGGTGCGTTGCGAGCTGTATTGTAAAATGTTTTAATTGGTGTGTGCCATGTAGAATTATTGCAAAAGATTACGCCACTACCGAGGTTCCTCTGTGTACATTGGCGGCTAACAAGAAAAGAGCTAAATTCGCCAGATTCCAAAACTACACATTCAGCCTCAACGTGAAGCCAGATTTTCACCAGGATAATGATGCACAAGCGAGAATATTCGCGACATTTTATGACCCTTTTGTGATCTAATTCTCCAAGTATCGATATAATGTTAGTACTGAGTAAAACACGTAGGCTCGTAATTCCGAGATGCTTCCTTCGAACTGTTACCGGCCACCCTGCACAATGATTTTGTGTAAAATTTCTTCGCCTCTTTATTTTGCTTCGTACAACTTGACCAGGTGTAGTGGCTACTTCATACGCATGAAAACGCAAACATTTCGGTATCAAGAGTGCAAACGTTCATGTCGCTGGTTACAGAAAAAATTATTGAAAAGTTGAAACAAGGTTTTGATGCAGTGCCGAAAAGCGTGTATGTTAGTTAATCCTTTGGATGGAACACGGCCAAATTCGAAGACCTTGCCGTTTTGTATGGAATTCTCATGCAGAGACAGCCAGAGCTGAGTGTGGGACCAGGGATATTGTGGTTGGCACTTGGAGCCTTGATCACTAGGAACAATTGAACTCAAAAATGAAGCCTATGACTTGAACGGAATTGATTATCTTAGATTACTGAATACTATGTTTCTAATGCTGTTTTTTTATGCACGTCAGTTGTCTTCGCGGCATCGAGATGCAGCCGTCAACTCATCGCGACAAACAGGCTATGTCAACTACTCACTGAACCGTTTAGCGCTTTGATCTGATATCTTTCGCTTTTCCCCAGATTTTGCAGCGTCTTTACAGTATCCTAAAGGTGGCTACCGTACTGGAGGTATGAGACTGATAGGCAACCTACCGACATTGCCATTGAGTGCAAATTGACCTAACACCTCACTCGTGAACAGACATCTAGATCATCCCAATCGTTCATGTGTGGCCCCACCGAAGCAACAGGCCATTACATGTTTTTTGACGATTCCTTCACCGACACCTGCACACACACTATACACGTTAGCTAGAGGTGGGACACACCTCAGATACTATGCTGCAATACATAAAAGAAAAGAAGGGAATAAACTGCTACAGGTGCAAGCCAGCTGAGCTACCGGTAACGGATGGGCATCGTTCCGATAAGCTACCAGCCGGCTACTGTGCAGCAAAAAAAGTAATTTTCTATGCGAATTATAAAATGTTAAATAGTGAGATCCTTGTTGGAGGGGGGAGGATAAGAGGGATGGGGTGGGACAATGAAACCCACAGCACGGACGTCATTGAGGCCGGCTCCTAGCCATATCAGCAAGTGTATCCAGCCAAACGTGTGCATCGTTTTTCGGACCCCAACTAGGGAGCCGTGACGCTCTAACTGAGACCAGCTTCGAAGTGAGGACTTTCGTTCCTCTCGACCAAGTCATCGCTTGGCCACCTCCTCTTTTCTTCCATCCACATCCCCGGCGCGCAAGCAATGCACGTCGCGGGAGTCAGTGGGTTGGCATGCGTAACACGTGGCCGAACCATCGGAGCCTGGTGCGTGAAATGACGCTGCTGAGCGGTTCATTTCCTTTCCCTGTCCCGTAAACAAGGCGACGAACAAGCTCGTTGCTCACGTGGTGTTTCCACCACATGTGAGCTAAGTGCGAAGGCACCGGTGGTCGAACATAACTAGCCTCTTTATGTCCGCTGATCAAAAGGCCAGTTTTCACAACCGTACAGTGGGGTCGAACGACCGCTGCATTGTACACCCTGCCCTTCAGGACGACAGTGATGTCGCGCCGGCGCCATAAGTGGGGAAGGTTAGCAAAAG